CCACCCGGTTTCAAGGGGAGGGAAGTGAGGCTCCAGCTCTTGATGGGAGAATGGCAAAGGCACCACACAGAGCAACTTGTGGCCTGGAACCTATTCAGTGGCCATCTTGGGGAAATACAACCTGTCCGAGAATTGAAGCATCTCAAGGCTGGGAGATGCCCTGAAGTTCACCCTGAGGCATCCTTGGGCGCTGCCCTCAGTCTCTTCTGCAGTGGCTTGGCCACCACTCACCCCATCTCTGCTGACGTGTGCTCCGTACTTGGTGCCCCTGCCCACTGGGTGGCCCATTCCACCTTGGAGATGCTTAGACCTCTATCCACTTCCTCCTTGTACTGAAGTGCCCACTGAGACCCTTGATCTCTTCCCCTTCATTTTCTCTCTCTCTCTCTCTCTCTCTGTCTTCTCTCTCTCTCTCTCTCTCTCTCTCACACACACACACACACACACACACACACACACTCCAGAAGGTCACCCGGGGAGGCTGCTTCCTTCTGCTTCACCACAGTTCAGAGGGGGTTTGAAGACCACTAGTGTGACTTGAGTCTTTTCTTCTCACAGCCTAGTGTCTCAGCATTACCCGTCCCCCTTCTGCACCCACCCCCGTCTCAGTCCTGGCCTTGCAGCGACTGCTTGGGTTGCTTCATGAAGCAGACACCCTTCGGGCTCCTCTGCAATCCCTCCTTCCCATTTTCCCATGGTTAGGGGTTTGCTTCCACTTGAAGGGTTTTCTTGTCAGCACCATGGGGTGACGTTGAGTCATGAGAACCGTTTAGAAGAATCCCATTCGTCTTGTTGGGAACTCATTTAAGAACAGACATGTGGCTCAAAGGAGACTCAAGGGGACGGTCGCCAGGGTTCTGGCCCTCCATCCCCAAAAGGAGTTGGGGGATGAGAGGCTGCACCTCTTGGCTCTGACCCCGTCCCAGTTCCCGGAGCAGTGGACCCGTGTGGTGGGGGCAAACCAGCAAAAGGGAAAGAGCCCTCGCTGTGTGGGGCACAAAGCATCCTTACCGTGTAAAGCCATTTACTTGATAAGTATTGAGCGGACACCCAGGTGGTCTTCTAGGTGCAAGGGGGAACAGCAGGGAAAACACAAATTCCTTCGTGGAGCTGGCATTCTAGAAGAAAAGGTGGTTCAGAAGAGACTGATATGGTAAACGCGGGGCTGATGCCTTCTGCTTGCCCACAGGCCTACTTTTCACTTTTCCTGGGTCCTTCCGTCTGTCCAGAGGCTGATTTGAATTGGGAGGGCTCCACTGTCTCCTGACTGCCAGCTGACCCCAGCCGACAGGGAGCCCCAGCGGGATACCAAAGGGTGGAGAAGAGAGAGAGCAGTCTCTCTGGGGCTGCCGGTGGATCCTTCTTTATCAGAAGGATTGGTTCCAGCTCTCGGTTTACTTTACCTTCAGCGTGCCTTGATGCCCTCGCTTTTGTCCGTCAGCCCTCTGCTAACCTTCCTTTCCTGAGATAGCTCCTTCTGAGCTATGCGGTGTGGAGGGGCATCTCAGGCAGAGGACAGAGCCTACACAGAGGCGCTGAGATGGGCCCGAGTGTTCAAGGAACAGCAAGAAAAGTGGTGTGAATAGAGCAGGCATAGTGCGAGGGAGGGAGGTGGGTGGTGGGGCCAGCGAAGGAAAGGAGCAGAAGCCGTTAGTACCTTGCAGCTTCTGTGGGGCCCCGTGCACATGGGGGCAGATGGGCTGACTGTGTGTTAACAGCATCGCCTGGCTGCTAGGTAAGAAGGGGGACCAAGGGGTCGGGTAGGAGTGGATATCCCAGTTAGGAGGTGACAGGGCAGGAGAACATGGCGACTGGAAAAGCACACTGAAGAGTCACTGAGTTCTGGGTGTAATCTGAAGGTGGAGACCGTGGGTGTATTAACAGAGTAGTTGTGGGCCTACAAGACGGAAGAGTCAAACGGGACTCCAAGATGATTGGACAAGTACCAGGAAAGGTGCTTGTCATCAACGATGGAGAAAAGTCATGGAGAGGCAGGGCTGGGAGAAGGTCGGGAGCTCTGTCTCATGCATGTGAAGCGTGAGGTCTATGGGAGACTGTGTTTCAGCAGCCCTGATACACCCCATCTCCTAAGGTTCATACCTCTGTGCAGCCCCTCCTCTTGCATCTGGGGCCTGCTTGAACCCTCTGAGTGTAGCACAAGTGATACAGGACCTGTTCCCAGGCTGGGCCTTGGGAAAGCCTGGCACCTTCTGCTTTTGCGCCCTTGGAAGCCAGCCACCATAGAAGAAAGGAACTCTCCCCCAGATCACCATGCTGTGGAGGAGACTAGGCATTCCCCCCAGAGAGGCCTGCGTGGGCCAGGGCAGAAGCTGACAGTCAGAGGCGTGCCCTCAGCTGGTGACCGGCTCCAAATGCTCACCACAAGCGTGAGGCCTTAGACCTTGCAGGGATCCAAGCCGACACTGAGGGAAGCCAAAGAATGATCTGGTTCACACACACTACCAAGAGACATCATAAATTGCCGTTTCAGGTCCAGAAAACCATAAAAGATTTAGCTCACACATTCTCAACCGGGCACAGTTTTGCACACCCCACCACCCCTCCCCCCCACCCAGGGTAATTGGCAATGTCTTGTGACATTGTTGGTTGCCACACGGTTCACTTTCGGGATTTAAAGCAGCTCAGGAATCCAGGGGATAGAGCTGACAGTGACTGCTAGAGACCCAACAGCTGGCCAGGGCAGCTCCCACCCGCAAAGGATTATCTGCGTCAAGATGGCAGTGGTGTTGTCCCTGAGAAAGTCTTACCTTCGCACTTAGATATGTAGGGTAATACAGTATAAGTCACTGTGGCTTTCTGAAAGGAAAGGACAGTCACATGGGGAGGAATGTGCTGTTAAGGAGATAAGTAAAAATGAGCTCAGATGAGCTAAAGTTTCTTCCAGTTTTGGTGCTTTTTATTTGCATTTTTCTACCTTTTCCAAAATAACAGCGTTTCTGCTACCATTACATGGTCTCTTGTAAGCTGCAAATTCTCTTCTTTTCGGAGAGACTTTGTCCTGCTCGACAGCGGTGACTTATCCTCATTCTACTGTTGGGGCTCAAGAACCTTCTCCATGGGGAAGCCTGGGGAAAGTGTGAGGCTGGACAACAGACCGGACCCAAACCCTACCAACATGGAGTATGGCGTTTGCACCCTGGCTTGTTTGGGGGGGTTTCAAGAGGTTTCAGATTAGGAAGCAAGTGAGAAATATGACAAAGAGGAAGATAAATGGAACATAATGTAACATCGCTGTTACTAAGGATAAAAATCTAGGCAATGAAATACACAAAAACATTCAGTTTCTCAGACACACTGGCCACATGTCACTGCTCAGTGGCCGCATGTGGCCAGAGGCTACTGTATTGGACTGTGTGCCTGTAGAATGTTGCACCATAGGATAAACATTCAGTGGATGGTTACTACTCTGAGATTTTTGTCCTACCCCTCTTTGTATCATCAGTGCCTAGAACCGGGCCTGACTCGGAGGCGCTTAGATATGTTGGTGAGATCGAGGCATTTTTTTTCAAAATCTGCATGTCGTAAAGAACTTTTCTTTCCCAAACAACAAGTCGTGACAGTGGAGCATGGGTAGCTTCTTACATGAAGTAAATCAGTTGAAGAATATGCACTCTATAATCCTATTTTTATAATTTGTTACGAGTAAAAAGAAAAAAAAAGGAAAATTAAGTAATACGTTAATTTTCTAGATATATGAAAGAAGTTATGGCTGTTCTCACGGTCAGGTACTAACAAAAGGCGGTTGTAAGAGTGGATGCCTGGGTGGCTCAGTTGGTTAAGTGTCTGACTCTTGGTCTTGGCTCAGGTCAGGATCTCATGGTTTTGTGAGTTCGAGCCCCACCTCTGGCTCCGGGCTGCCAGCACAGAGCCTGCTTGGGATTCTGTCTCTCCCTCTGTCTATGCCCCTCCCCCACTGTGCATTAGCAGTCTCTCTCTCTCTCTCTCAGAATAAATAAATAAACATTAAAAAAAGAGTGAATAGACAGTAGCATTAAGGAACATGATAGTGAAGTACATAAGGACAAATCACAGTCGTTGGCCTGATGGATACCCCATGTAAGCCATGAAATCTGTTTCCTAGGGAGTGCATAAAGTACGTTTTCTTTCCCCAAATATGGCTCCCTTGCTGAGCCGCAGAGAGGAGTGTCGCCAGATGGCACAGTGTCATTTTTCTGTTATAGCTCCTGACCCAGCAATATATTTTTTCCCACCTCGCCTTATAGAAATTACTTTTGTTCATGGCAGGAGTAATCTTCACCCTGGGAACGGACCTAGTGACTGCGTCCAAATCTGAGCTCTGACACACTGAGTGATGACCCTTTTGCAGCCTTACTTTGCTCTTCATTTGCTGGCTGATGAGCTCCCAGATGCTGGACCAGAATTCAGTCCATAAAATGAAGACATTCCGTTTGACAGGGGCCGAATCTAAATGACCGAAGCAAGGGCGTGAAAGCATGAGGCAGTGCCTTCAGACTCACCCTAAGACCATGTAACCCACAGTGAAAATCAATCTGGTTTCCAAATGAAGATCTTTAGATGCCACAGTAATTTCTTCAAAAAAAGCGGGGGCAGGGGAGGGGAGGGTATCATCATAAAAATACTAAAACCCAAACGAGAATGACAAAATAAAAAGACCAGTTTAATTAGCAGCTCTGCTGTTTTTATTTCATGCTCAGTCGATGGGAGAGAGAATATTTTTATCAAACTATTAAAGTGAATGGATTTAAAGATCGGAATATAATCACCCAGAAAGATGGCATTCACGAAACAGTTTTAAACGCAAGCATGGTAAACCTGATTTCTTTGTGATTGTTGTGCTCATTCACTGTTACTCCTAAATCCTGATCGATTCTTGGCTTGGGGAAAATTCCATCAGGGTGAATGCATCCCTGCAGAGCTGACATCTGAAGAGGTTGAGCTGTTTGTGATATTACTCCCTCCTTCATGTTTTTTTTTCTGTTACTGTTTCTGTTTTGCAGACCCACTATGAGAATGGGGAGTATATCATCAGGCAAGGTGCCAGAGGGGACACGTTCTTTATCATCAGCAAAGGCACGGTAAGCCCTCGAGCACCAAAGGGGGCTTCACGGTGGGGCGGGGCCTGGGGAGCATCGATGACCCCTGGAGGAGCATGCGCACGGGGGTGTGAGCTGTTCGAGCTTTTCCATCTTCTGAAACGGATAGAGAAACTTTTGAGAAAGGACCTCCCAAAAATGGTCCTGGAGGAAGAGAAGTAGAACTCTGAAGACCAGAAAATAACCTGTGTTCTAGAATTTAATAACCATGATGCTGGATGCCACTGATATGTCTGCATAAATGGGAAGATTTCCATCATTTAAATTATATAGTTAAGCAAGAGACAGACTAAAGTGACTTTAGAAATTCTCAACAGGAGGGGCGCCTGGGTGGCGCAGTCGGTTAAGCGTCCGACTTCAGCCAGGTCACGATCTCGCAGTCCGTGAGTTCGAGCCCCGCGTCGGGCTCTGGGCTGATGGCTCAGAGCCTGGAGCCTGTTTCCCATTCTGTGTCTCCCTCTTTCTCTGCCTCTCCCCCGTTCATGCTCTGTCTCTCTCTGTCCCAAAAATAAATAAACGTTGAAAAAAAAAAAAAAGAAAAACAAAAACAAAAATGAAAAGTTCAATCTCATCATTAGAAGCAATAACATAGCTATGGTAGAACACCAGGGTTTTAAAATCAGATGGTCCAGGGACTCCTGGCTCAGTCAGCTGAGCATCCAACTCCTGATTTCAGCTCAGGTCATGATCCCCAGGTTAGTGAGATCGAGCCCCGTGTTGGCCTCCATGTTGAGCTTGGACCCTGCTTGTCTCTCTCTCTCTCTCTCTCTCAACCTCTCTCTCTCTCTCTCTCTCTCTCTCTCTCTGCCCCTCTCCCCTGTCCATGTTCTCTCTCTCTGAAAAAATAATAATAAAATGAAATAAAAATAAAATAAATGGCCCAAGTCTGACTCCCCCTATAAAACTTATCAGTCTCAGTATTCTTAGGCAAGTTGCTTGGCACCCAGAACATCAAGGATATAAGTATACTCAGGTTTTATTATGTCTTCATAAAGAAATTTTCAGTGGATACTTCTTAATATCCATTAAAAGTGATGTTATAAGGGAAAGGATAAACCTATTAAACAGGATCTATTAAAAGTGATAAATTATAGGGGAAAGGATAAATATGGGGTAGACAAAGGATATGAATGAAAAATCATAATGTATGCCTTTATATTAACTTTGAAGCATTAGAAATCTACTTCAACTTGTATTTAAAAACTAATCAATTAAGTGAGTTGGAAAGTGGCAACTTATGCAGATGTATGCTCTAACACTCTAAAAATACCTTACATTTCCTTTCATCCGTGAAGTCATAACCTTTTTGCTTCATCGTAAGGGATCCTTAAGAGGAATTTGTACGTACTTAGCGATAGAGAAGGAAATGCCGGTGGAAGGGAATGTATACAGCAGTTCTCCTTTTACTAATTGTTATCTTGAAATGTAAATAAGGTTAGGGGTGCCTGACTGGATTCAGTGAGTAGAGCATGTGACTTGATCTTAGAGTGGTGAGTTCGAGCCTTGTGTGGGGCACAGAGCTTATTTGAAAAGTAGATTAAAATTTTGTGTATTTTAATGTTTTAATGTTTATTCATTTTTGAGAGACAGGGCATGAGTGGGGGAGGGGCAGAGAGAGAGGGAGACACAGAATCGGAAGCAGGCTCCAGGCTCCGAGCCGTCAGCACAGAGTCCCACACGGGGCTCAAATTCATGACGTGAGATCGTGACCTGAGCCGAAGTCGGATGCCCAACTGACGGAGCCGCCCAGGCGCCCCAATGAAACTTTGTAAATGAAGAAGCGATTTCTAAAATGTAAATAAGTTTGTTTCTTCTAATTGAACAAATACGACCGACTCTCGTACTTTATGGCTCATGTGAAAAAAGGAAAGCGAATTACAGACCCCCAGTGAACAGGATATGTGAAAGATTATAAATCTTGCTGGGTCACAGTTTAGATAATCCTCTCTGAAACGATTTTGACTCAAGAACGTGCCCGACTTTACCCCAGTGACATGTCACACTAAAGCGAAGATGGCACCGGCTGTGTTTGTATCATACCTGTTCTGTTGGCTGATCGCAGAAAGCCTGGGACAGACATAGATGTCAGGTGCCAGCATCTTGAGGACATCAAGAAATGACATGTCCGACCGCAGTTAAGTGAAAACTGTGTTCTGAATGGCCCAGTGTTGGAGGCTAAGAAACCTTAACATTTTGTGGTTTATGTATAAATTATTGGAGCTTTACCATTTACTGTTTTATTTCTTAACATTTACCAAAGAATCAGGAGAAATTGCAAATCCTCATGGATATAAATGATTCAGTAGGCCACAGGGGGACTTTTTTGTCCCGACAGTCTGGATTTATTTTTTTTTTTCTTTACCATTTTGCTAATCCTTTGCTCTCATGGGATGATACATTTATCCATTTATGATGAATTTCTGACAGACTTTTGTGATTACCCCATTACTGTGAATACCTAGCACTACCTAAAGGAACCTGTGGTTTGTAACCAGTTTGAGTTTAAAACAGGTGCATTAGTGGTGCTACTTTATGAGTGTTGTATTATGCATAAACAGAAATAACAAGGAAATGACACCGCAGGAGCCCATTCCCTTGACAATATTTCAGAGCACCATGGGGATCCTGGGAGAGAAGTAGAAAGAATATGTTAGACTCTTTTGACACATTCAAGATGTTTTCTAAACCAGCCATAGATTTTTCCATAACTAGTTTTTCATGTCCTGCAACTTAGCTGCTATGATTTTTAATCACATGAATTATATGATTCTTGAGATATGATATTAGTGTATTAATTATACTAATTCTCGTATGCATGTATTGGAATCAGTATATAAAATCCTGAGGGGCAGGAGTTGAACCCGCTTACGTCCCAGTGGGATGGAACAGGAGAGAAAAGTAACAAGAGCCTTCAAGTAAGCAGGCCGATAGGTTGCAGAATTGAAATTTTCTGAATCTCTATGCTTTGCTTTAGGTATACAGATGTAAACTTGTTTTCTCATGTGTTTAAAAAATTACAAAGGGTAGCCCTTGCAAAGATCGTTTCCCTGTTACCTCTGAACTGGCTTTTCCTTAGAGCATGTCATAAGACACCCACAGGCAGCTAGAGTTACAAGTGGATTCCCCCCACTCAAGACATTCATTTAAGTGTAAGGCTTTTTATTTTCCCATGAAGCACTTGCACACAAAGGGAGAAACTCTGAAATACGTGTTTTTCCCCCGTTAAACCTCCATAAACTGATTGTTCTACACCTTGAGCAAAATGCTTATAGTGATGTCTACAGTACTTGTTGCTGCCTCTTCTAGAAGCTGAGTTAGTTCTCTGTATATTCCAGTTGCCTGGAAACATGACGTTCCTTTCCACCCAAACTTGAACTATAAAATATCAAAGAATTCACAAAGGAGCAGTGAAAACTATCTTTGCCCAAATTTTGTGCATATGGCCCTGTAGCTGTGTTACATCAAAAATTGAACTCTCTCCAGAAGGAAGTTGAGCCAAGATTGAACAGGATTGTTAGGCAAAACTTCAGAGTTGCAGTAATGATTCAAATACATTTTGATTTTCTGATTCTGTTCAACATATCTAATATGCTACTGTTAGGAAAAAAATGTGATTCAAAAACTCTTGTCCATTAAATGCCATTTAAAACCAGATGGCTTTGCTTAGAATTAATTGTTTGAGCGTGTTGCGTAAACAAATTGGTTTATCATGATGTTTGATGTTGTTGAATATGGAAATTATGGAAATTTTATTTGTATATGGGTACGTAAGAGTGAAGCATGAGAAGCTCTTCCTTGTAGATCAAGGACAAGATAAAATGAGCATTATCAGCACTTTTGTTCAACGTGCAACTGAACGCCACAATCATTACAGTAAGGCAAGAGAACTATCTGGGAGTCATGAGATAGACCAGTGATTATATAGGTAAATCTGGAAGAAACACATTTATATCTCTAGAAGAATTAATGAAATGTGTATGTGTGTATGTATGTATATGATGGGACATATATAATGGGATATATATATTCATATAATGGGATAATATGTAAAGTGAGGAAATGAACTTCAGCATTGTGTATTAACATGGGAGAATTGGAGAAATCTCAAATACAATACCCCTCAAAAGAAGCAAGTCGCCGAAGAATACATGTGGTATGCTCGCATTTTTATGAGGCTCAACAACAGGAAAATATCTGGTATTTATGCCTGGAATGAGTTGTGAGGGCACGCAGGCACACACATTATATTATAGACATTAGAAAGGGGATCATGACCATGAGATGCACGGCAGACATTTTGGGAGAGTGGGTTAGGACACGCGGTGGAGAGAGACTCTAGTTTACTCCCATGTTACACAGAAGGTTCAGTGATCAGATCCTACTCCTAGAAATCCTACATCTTGACCACACTGAATTTAATTCATGGCTCAAAGAGTGCAGGCAAACTTCAAGCTCAGAAAAAACGTGCCTACCCTGTACGTGTCCCAAGCTAGCAGATACGTTGCCTAAAGTGCCCTCATTCTTCAGGAGGCATTTTGGTTTGGGAATAACAGGACCAAGTTTTGAGTGCTATGTGAGGAACACTGTTAGAAAGGAGAAATGCTTTGGTTTGGGGACTTCTCGGTTTCTATGGTCTGTTAGTCACACACGTAGGAGAGTGATGACCTAACCCTTATTCTCCAGCTGGGTCTTTCCCATAAATCTGTAAATTCTAAGCTTTTTGGGGTTTTTTTACAGTAAACGTTGCTTTGTTTATATAACCTGAATCTGTACTAAAACGTTTCATGTTTTAAAATTATTTTTGATTAAACATGTTGGTTGAGTACACTGATACTGTTTATTGAAGTCTTCAGTATCAAAGATCAATTTTAGATGTCCCCCTAAAAATATCTCATTTTTATTTTGATTCTTAATTTTGATTCTTAATTTTTAAAATATGCATATGGTTTTAAAATAGAGTTTAAGGGCGCTTGGGTGGCCTAGTCGGTTAAGCGTCTGACTCTTGGTTTCGGCTCAGGTCATGATCTCAAGGTTCATGAGTTGGAGCCCCACGTCGGTCTCTGTGCTGACAGTGCGGAGCCTGGTTGGGATTTTCTCTCTCACTCTTTCTCCACCTCTCCTCCACTCACATTCATTCATTCATTCATTCATTCATTCTCTCTCTCTCTCTCTCTCAAATAAATAAACTTAACTAGTTTAAAAAACTCAAATCACTAGACCCCACATATGTCTTTCAGAAAACAAGTTAATACATAGGTAAGTGAAAACATTAGAACACACACTGTTATTTCTCTAGAAGGAAAAGAAGTTTCTGCTCTAAATAGCGTTTCATAGCAACAATGAAAGAGCGATAGTAGTGATAAGGGGATATTTATTTTACAACTAAATGCATGAATTTCTGAAACATGAGTAGTAGAAGAAAGGGAGAAAATATGAGGAAAGTCACCAACCTTTTTGAGCATTTACTATTAAGAGGATGCTTTTCACATGAGATTTCCTTATTTAATTCATACACGCACACACCCTCTTTTGAGATAACTCTCCCATTTTTTAGTTGAGGTGATGAGGTAACACGGGTCAGACAGACCAAGTATTACTGTCTTTAAAACTCCATAAGTTGGGGTGCCCGGGTGGCTCAGTCGGTTAAGCATCCGACTTCGGCTCAGGTCACGATCTCACGGTCCGTGAGTTCAAGCCCCGCGTCAGGCTCTGTGCTGACAGCTAAGAGCCTGGAGCCTGTTTCAGATTCTGTGTCTCCCTCTCTCTCTGCCCCTCCCCTGTTCATGCTCTGTCTCTCTGTCTCAAAAATAAATAAACGTTAAAAAAAAAAATTTTTTTTAAAGGCTCCATAGGTACTCCTTTCCCCTAGCATTGTGGGTCATAAAGTACTTTGTGGTTTAAGGAAAAATAGTAAGTAATATAGGCCAAGGTTAGAGAGGTTATCTCTGCATATTTAACTTTCTCTATCCTAACTTATTTTTTTTAGAATTAAAGATGCAAATGTCCATGCCTGATGTCTGCATATTTAGAATGATTCATTATATGTAAAAAGAAAAAGTGTAGAAATTGCAACTTTAAAGGAAAGCTTTCTTCTTGTTCTTTGACCTGCTTATCTTTTCACATATATGGATTATGCAGATAGGGTTTTCTTCACACTTATCATATAAGCAGAAAGTGGTCTATTCAATAGGTGGCCCACTTTTTATGCCTCTGTTCCTGCATTTCAGTAACATTTCTGTAAAGATATTTCAAAATCCACTGAAATCTTTCCATGCCTTGCATAAACCTGGCATTTCAAATTTTTAATCTTTTTGTTGTTGTTGTTAACCACAAGACAAATGTACAATTATATAATGTATCTTTATATCTAACTTTGAACTAATGATCTTTTAGTATATTACACCTTAGTTCATGCCTTGTTTTTTAATAGTCAGGACTGAAAGATAGTTTTGTTGCGTTGCCTATTTATTGTACAGTTGCGAAAACTGAGGTTCAGAAATAAAACAATGGATCCATGTCTGTCAAAGTTTGATCTATGGAACATTTGCATCTAAGACACCTATACTAATCTTTTGAAATGCAGATTTCCAAGTCCCAATAGATTAGAACCTCAAGAATGACAGTCAAGTAGGCCTTATTTTATTTTTCTCTTCCAAGCTTTTACTCAGATTCCAGTTAGTTAACATACAGTGTGATGTTAGTTTTGCATGGTTCCCCCTTTCTCCACATCCTTGCCAACACCTGTTGTTTCTTGTGTTGTTGACTTTAGCCATTCTGACAGGTGTGAGGTGGTAACTCATTGGAGTTTTGATTTCTATTTCCCTGATGATCAGTGATGTTGAACATCTTTTCATGTGTTTGTTGGCCATCCGGATGTCGTCTTTGAAAAAACATCTATTAGTGTCTTCTGCCCATTTTTTAACTGGATTATTTGGTTTTTGGATGTTGAGTTTGATAAGTTCTTTATAGATTTTGGATACTAACCCTTTATCGGGTCGTTTGCAAAAATTGTCTCCCATTCCATAGGCTGCCTTTTCGTTTTGTTGATTATTTCCTCCACCGTGAAGAAGGTTTTTATCTCGATGTAGTACCAATAGTTCATTTTTGCTTTTGTTTCCTTTGTCTTAGGAGACATATCTAATAAGTTCAGTAGCCTTTATTTTAAGTAAAGCCCCCTACCACAAAGTTTGAGAATCAATGCGGTAGTGTATTTCTATTCACATCTGTAAAAGCTTTATCAGCATGCAAATGAGCATCTGTGTGATATAGCTTGGTTTAAGAGGGTTAAAGACTACATCCCCATGGTTTTGATACAGTGTGGAAAAGTAATCAAATGCATCAGTGGAGAATAATAATTGAATTCCCTCCACCTTGCACATACATTCTTACTTACAAAAGTCCTGTTCTTTGTCATCTAATGTCTAAACTCAGAAACCCAAAGCATAGTATTTTTAAATGTGCTTAAGTGTCTAGCATTTTTTTAAGAAATTAATTTTTTCTGGGGCATCTGGGTGGCTCACTTGCTTAAATGTCCAACTGTTGAATTTGGCTCAGGTCATGATCTCCAGGTGCATGTGTTTAAGCCCCGTGTTGAGCTCTGCACTGACAGCCTGGAACCTCCTTGGGATCCTCTGTCTTCCTTTTTCCCTGCTCCTCCCCCACTTGCTCTCTTTCTCAAAAATAAATAAACTTGGGGCGCCTGGGTGGCGCAGTCGGTTAAGCGTCCGACTTCAGCCAGGTCACGATCTCGCGGTCCGTGAGTTCGAGCCCCGCATCAGGCTCTGGGCTGATGGCTCGGAGCCTGGAGCCTGTTTCCGATTCTGTGTCTCCCTCTCTCTCTGCCCCTCCCCCATTCATGCTCTGTCTCTCTCTGTCCCAAAAATAAATAAAAAACGTTGAAAAAAAAATTTAAAAAAATAAATAAATAAATACACTTAAAACCCTACTGATTAAAAAAAATGAATTTTTTCTACCACCATACATTTTCCAGGTAGGTGAGTTTTAACTATTTAACCATTCTAGGTGAAACATAGCCAGTATTGTGAATATTAGTAGAACCTGAGGGGGAAGTGAATTAAGTTACAGCTTCCTACATTTAGGTCTTCATTCATACAACAAACTCATTATTATTTTCCTTCTGTGGACACAAGTCCTTAGGGGCCAAGATATCTTGTTTGGGCAGTAAAGTTTTTCCGTTCAAACAACTTACAGCTCTTGGGCACCTGGATAGCTCAGTTGGTTGAGTGTCTGACTCTATTTCAGCTCAGGTCATGATCCCAGGGTTGTGGGATTGAGCCTTGGGTAGTGGTCCACACTGAGCATGGAGTCTGCTTAAGGCGCTCTCTTGTGGGTCACCTGGTTGGCTCAGTAGGTTAAGCGATGGACTCTTGGTTTTGACTCCGGCTATGATCTCATGGTTTGTGAGACTGAGCCCCGTGTTGGACTCTGTGCTGTCAGTGCAGAGCCTCCTTGGGATTTTCCCTCTCTCTGTGCTCCTCCCCTGCTCTCTCACTCTCTCTCAAATAAACATTTAAAAAAAATCTGCTCCTCTTCCCTACTCATCAGCACTTTCTCTCTAAAATAAAAATCAAAAAAATAGAAAAAAAACTTACAGCTCTTTATTAGGTGAAAACTGAATTTTATTAGTTTTAAAAACTGAAATGCTACTGAACAAAGCATGTGGACCTTAAGGACTGTCTTGGGTTAGGGACCTCTAAAAAGGCTTCATTAACCTGTGAGTGGAAGAGACAAGCGTGTCTTTGTGGAATGGGGACGTGCATGAGAGGTGTGTAGAAAGACGTTTACTGCAGCAAAAACAATATAAACGTCCACCTGTAAGGAAATGGATGAGTAAACAGAGAATGGAAAAAGGCCCTGGAACATGAAAATGAATGGACTAGATTCATATCTAAGAGCATGGAACAAGTAATAAAACAATGTTAAGGGGAAAAAAAATGTAAGTTGCATACTTACATTTATCTTACAGTAAGATACATACTGTATTATGCTATGCATGTTTTTTAAAAACCCAAACACATAAACACATTACAAAAGGTTGGAGGAAGGCTCACTTAATTTTTCATAGTGCTTGCCTCACAGGAGGTAGGAAACAAGAACAAGAATGAGAAGTAAGTGAAATTCAGATTTCTGGATAATTTATTACTTCTTGAAAACAGCTCGAAACAGCCTAACAGTATTTGATGGGCATTTCTTGTGATGTGCATGGACATGTGTGATATTGTGTTGGTCCTTTTCGTGGTAATGTATGCGTTTTCTTTAAAAGTGGAAACAAGTGGAATTAACATCATCGGTTAGTGTTCATTTGATCAATCCGTGTGTGCAGTGGATAGAGACTTTTATTGTTTCCCTTGGCAGGTAAATGTCACTCGGGAAGACTCACCAAGTGAAGACCCGGTCTTCCTTAGAACTTTAGGGAAAGGAGACTGGTTTGGAGAGAAGGCCTTGCAAGGGTGAGTAGATCACATCGGACACGGTTTTGGTTTGCGCATGACATAAATTCCCGTCTTAAATATTGAGCTTCTAGCAAAAGAGGCCCTTTAATTAGTGTTTATCCTAATACCAGACACAGAGGCTTAATAATCGTTTTTATTTATTTCCATGTGGACTTGTAATGCATTTACATAGGCTTTAAGATAAATGGATTAGCTTCTGTAGTATAACGTTTTTACAGTAATGGAAAAATTTCCTAGCTTTGTGCTCAGTAACCACAATCTCTATAAAGACTCTAAAAGGGAGGGGAAAGTCTCTGCTAAGCTTACTTTGTGCGGTAGTTTTGCTCGGAATCCTAGGAAGGTGATTGGTTGAGAATTTGGAAATCCCTGAACCGACTGTACAAACCAAGGATCAGAAGGCAGTGGAGACTGGCTGGGATTCACGTCTGGGTAGTGGTTGTCCTCCCGGTGGTGGAGATAATGCACATGAACATTAACCATGGATGGACCCAGAGACGTATATTGCAAGGTCCCGGAAATTCTACTTGTAAAGCCTCGAGAAGCAAGCACTTGGGATTTCTTCCCACCTACTATGGAAGAAAAACCCAGTTGATTTTGGGCTACACATTTTACAGAATGCATGACAAATTTGGCAGATATATTTGGGTATTCTCTTCTTGTTTTCCAATAAACAACACATCTGAATTATCAGTATATATAGATGAGACTTTTCAAAACTCAGTGCAGGGTATGTGTGTGTGTACACACACATACATACTTGAATCAGAAATAACCAATAAACTTTTATTTTGGTATCAAATTCCAGGTGCAGGAGCGTCTGCTAGAGAGGAACCGCAATAGGCTGTAATTCGTTCCCAAAATATTTGGAACACTGAGTTTTGCTTCCATTTCAAATTATGCCTTCTTTTAAAAATTACATTAGAAGCATTTTGTTTAAGATTGCTATGAAGAAATAACTCAGGGAGTTTTAATTTTTAAGCCACAATCACAGAGCAACTTTTCTTTTTCTGTTCCCACCCTTACACAGCTATAGACATGAAACGGATCTGATAAGTCCTCCTAAGTACACCACATTAGCTAATGAAGATTCAGAACCAAATAGAACTAAATGCATTTGACTTTCTTTTTTTCTTTTCTTGTATGCGGTTCATTTGATCCTTATCTGATGAGCATGTACTTTCCGTTCGCTTTTTTCCAACAGCAAAGTCGGAAGAAATACCATATTCACTATACACGCACAAAAGAATGCGATAGGCACTAGCTTTTCAGTATAACGGGCAGAGACAGCATTGGTGCTTGAATGTTTCTTTCCCTTGATTATCTGTAGAGGATGCTAGAGAATAATGCCACCTGATTCCTTTGGTCCAAGATTAAATGCCTGTGTGAAAAACGTCATTTCCAAAAGAGTCAAAGAAACAGAAACATTTTCAATCGTCTCTGATTGAGATCACAAGTGGAACACCAGACAATAAAACATAACTGGAAATTGACAGATTTCCTCTTGTTAGCTTATTGCCACTGAATTTTGGTGCCAATTAAAGAAAGCTTCGGTGGTGGTAACCCCTTCCTAGAATGTGTCTTAAGAAGTGACCCTGAAAAAAAAAAAAAGAAGTGACCCTGAAGATACAGTTGATGGAAAAGTTACCAAATTTTCTCTGAGGTCAACATTTAATGGTATTCCGTCTAGACTGAATTCATTCTAGCATATGGCTATTCTCGTGAACTTTTTGGTGCCAAATTCTCTTTTGTCCGTATTCAGTCCTCCGTACACTGTCTCCTCACCCCCGCTGTCGCCCTACACCCCCTCTCTCCCCCAGCAGTTTCTTTCTTTCTTGTGCCCTTTGCTCTTACTTTCTCGCTACTCAGCCCGACTTTCTCAGCCTCCTCTAAGTGCCCTCTTACATGTCACCAGGGGTTTGCTACTTGCATCAGAGTATGCTCTTTCTTTTCTGTCTGGTCTTTTCTGTCGCTTCTCAGCCATAGTTTTACTCTGCAGACCACCCCTTCCTTTTTCAAACCTTCCTTTGGACCCTTGTCACTGTTAGCACTTCTTAGAATTTCTCATGTGATTTCCATTCATCAATGTTTTGTTCTCACATCTCTTTATTACATACATCTTATGGCTGCGTGTTGCCTTGATGAGAAGAAGTCCATATACTTACATTCTGATTTGGGCTCAGTATCTGGTACTTTTCAGATACTCAACATGCATTTACTGAATGAATGAATGAATGAATGAATGAACGAACCAACAAACAAATGAGTCTCTCTCTAATGATGCCTAATCAGGTAATCGCTTCTTGGGATGGGTCACTTTCTCTGCTTGGATCTGTTTGGCAATGGGGAAAGGGTTATGAACTCACTTGTCTACAAGGGTTGCAGGCTGGTAATGTAAATGAGTAAAGTGAGGTGGGTAAGTAGAAGCCCTTACGTCAAGAGTACAGCAATTACTGAACACTAGCTCATTGCTACAGTTTTTTAAGCAGAAAAAAACTTAGGTTTTGGGAAAACAAATATGAAATGTGATTTTGTAACTTGATTAAAAAAAAAAAAAGCTCTGCAAGCAAAAAACAAAGCAAAACAACAACAACAACAAAACACTTCTGCAAACGATTTGACCTGTGAGCTGCCATTTTGTGATTTCTATCTATCTAAATTCAGTAAAGGAAGCCTATTAGGTTAACCCGTCTTATTTCCTTATTTTTTTTTTAATGTTTTGATGTCCCATAGGTGTAACCTGTTTTTCACCCTGAGTATCTACGTTCCTTTTTGATCTTTTCTTTGAGTTTCATTGTTGCACACAAGAAACTCTAACCGTTCACAAATCAGATTGATTTGTTTTACTTGTTTCCCTCTAAAAACTGTAAAGTTTTATGTTACTTTGAGATAGAAAATCTTCTGGGTACTATGTATCCTTTTGAGTAATAGCTATGCTTCTTGGCAAATCATATCATTTTTATATTTGGAAGAAAGATTACATAGTCAGCGATCTCTGTGTGTCCATAACAGCTTTTCAGATCCTTGTTTTCACTCATGTAAAATTTATACATACTGGGAATTGTTGCTTTATTTTTTCAAGGATGTCCAGCAGACCATTAAAATACTGGTAATTTTGACATGAATTTTTGACCATTATTTTTAAATTTTAGCGTGCCTAATATGAGTACTGGGTAAGCCCATGGTAGATAATTGAATGACAAAGCTGCGATGTGACCTTGGCCCCCTGACTCCAGAACTTGGCTTTTGAGTTCTGCCTCTGGAAGTAACAAGCTCCATTTCCTTGTTCTCTGGAGACAGTCGAGTCATAGATAATGATACAATCTATATCATCAACGTCCATTAACCCCATTAACCAATAGCATCTCATTACCAGAAGTATTGAAGTCATGGATTGCTTTCACTTTTGTTGGTTGACATGAAGCAAATTATTCTGTATTCTTTGGCTCACTCACTGTTTTTTTTTTTTTTTTTTTTTTTGGCCATGATAATAGTTTTTCCACACCAGAGAGAGGGCAAAATGTTGTACTCTTGACAGAAGTGCTCTTTCCTTATGTACACGAAAACTACACTTGTGTTTAAGTTAAGTTACTGCAGGTGTAGTCCAGTAACTCATGAGTCAGTCCATCCCACTCTGACTCACTGTGGCTTCAAGCTCTACACCTGACTCGAAACCACGCAGAATCCACACAGGCATCAGATGGTGTCATATTCTAAGCCACACCCACACTTTGCATCAGAGGTAATAGGAAAAAAATCTAAGACTCAGTGGAACCTGACAGATGGGGCTGAGCTCCCCTTGCCCCTTGCCCCCTGCCCCCTGACATTTGAGTCTTCAGCGTGGCATGTGGGTAAGAGTTCAAGCTCAGAAATCAGTCGACATGGGTTAGGGTCCACTTGTCACTGACAGATCATGAGACCCTCAGAGGTTCTCCTGTAATCAGAAATGGAGGTGGTGATTCTACCTGACTCTTTTTTTGGTCGTTGAGAGGAATAATCAAGGGGATTGTTATAAAGCATTTGAACGAGTGCCTAGAATTTAAATTACGCTCAAAGAAAGTTAGCTGCTGTCATCAGTGCTGCCACCATCTTGTTTCCACTGTCATTAGCAATAGCCTCAGCGCGGTGATCCCTGTCCCCGTTGTCATTCCAAGAAGGCTCTGTTACTTCTTGGCCAGAGTTTAGAATGCTTGGTATAATTGGCATAGCATTACATGTGGGGTCAACCACTCACCGATTATATAACTCTGAGCAAGCCAGCTAACCTCTCTGGGTCTCTGGTTCTGAATTTGTAAACTGAGACCATTGAACTAGATGATCTCTAGCTTTCCTTAGGTCACAGCCTCCGCTTCCCTTGGGATTTTTGCCTCTTTACAGCTGGAACAGACCACTGGATGCCAAATGCAGCCCTGTGCCACCCTGTTAAACGGTGGCATTTAATAACAGGCCACTGCCAGAGGGCCCTTCCCTCCAGGAACCCTCCTAGCTATTTCCAGTCTTCTGAACACCATTGCCACGTGCTAGGTCTGTCCTTGTTGATGGAAAAAAGAAGCAGCCATTTCTGTATTTCCCCAGATTCTTCCCTCAAGGACCATGATCTTGGGAAGGTGAATTAACATTTCGGAACCTGTTTTCCCCCCTCTCTCTTTTGTTAATTAATAAAATGATAGCCCATCGAAGGATAGAATACTGGATAGTGCACTTCAATACTTTGCCATATTTGAATCTGATAAATTATTCATGTGTTTATTTGGAAATAAAACATGATAGATACAATTCAAGGCTCTTTGGTATCCTTGTCATTCTTTCCCTCCCACCATCATCTCTTGAGGTTGGCCGTGTACACCCTCACTGCTTATGTGTCTATAATTTATTATATATATTTTATTCATACAAGTACGTAAGCGTATCTTATTTGTCTTAAATTTTTACACATCTGAAATCTCTCTTTGATTTTGCATCAATATGTCATTTTTCTTTCTTTTCCTTCTGTCATGCGA